AAGACGGGCCTATTTGATCTCTTGCCATCTCTTCTCTCTTATAACACCTATTTCTAGGCTGGCTGCATAAGGAGATAAACTTGCATTTCCTCCAATTGCTCAGTCATAGGAGGTGGCAGCTATGGCCTAGTCTTGGGCATAAGGGATTGTTAAAGTGGCCTACGCCTCGTGCCAGGACTGATTCTATCAAACATGTTGACGGACCTTTGAGGCCTATGTTTCGGCTCATATTCAAGAAGAAAGTTGTCCTCCAAGTCAGCTAGGCCTAGATGGGTTGACCAAGAGTATAGATAGAGGAAACATCAATTCCTACTTCTCTTTCAAGGGATCTAACTTCTCTAGCCCGTCGCGAAGATGGAGCCCTTTAGCTTTAGACTTCATCTTCACGTGGATTTTATTTTCGGTGTGCAAAAAGAAGGACTGTAGAACCTCTTTGACCTTGCATTTGCATGAGGAGTTCTTGCATAGCCATATTTTGGTGGGTGATATTTCTCATATTTGTTACCATAGTGGTTATCTTCCCGATATGTTGGACAGCTATCCTTATACCATTGTATCTATGATGATAGTAAGGTCGACGCCGACCCACCGGGGTGGCTGTTACTTGGGAGATTTTATCATTATTTTTCCTTACCTTCCTAGGAGGAATATCATGGTCCGAACTCATCTTTCCTTAAACTGTCAATTTTTTTCTAACTTTTGAGGCTTTCGCTTGTTTTTTTCAAGAACAAATCTTTTTTCAAGGAGGATGCCCAGCTATATTTCAACAAAGTTTTTTCCATGGGGTTGCTCATGGTTATAGTATGGTTTCCAACACGCAGTGCCAATCTGTTGAACTAATTTTCTGTTAGGGTAACATGGACAACAGATACTGGGTCCACTCGTGTATACATAAGCAAATTTAAACACGCTAGTCGATAATACTCCAGGTTTGGACGTGGGAGAAGCTAAATAACACGAGACAAATATGTTTGGGCTCCTCCAATATATTTTGAGAACGATTGTGTAATAATAAATATTTAATAACAACTCGACTAAAGTAAGATAATTTAAACTCCAACGGACAAGAATATGGGATAAGTAAATGAGAAGACAGAATAACTTCAAGTAGTTAGAGTTGTATACAAGGATAAGGTATTTAATATTTATAGTCTTACATATGGAATGGTATCCATTGGATGAAAAAACACATGGCTTCATCTCCTGAATCAAAACATCTTATTTTAGACATTAATTCAAATTTATTGGCATGTGACGCATTTAATGCTCCTGCAGATAACATCCATCCTACAACTTAAATTGACAAGACTCTTAGTGATTTGAATAAATTATAGCCTAATTTTGTGTTAATTATGTTTGTTAGGTTGAAATCAATGCACATTGATGGATTTGGAAGAAAGGAATAAAAACGTGTGAAAATGAAGGAATTTCAAAGTTTGGAGACCAAAGCGTAAATATCCAAAAGTTGATTTGGACCACAAAATGATAATTGAAGATCATATGATATCAATTGGATGCAATTGGAAGCCAAAGGAATGAAATAGAGTTGAAATACTTTCACAAATCAATTTCCAATCGAAAAAGTTGTGCTTCGAATTTTTAGCCTCAATTTGAGACCCATTTTCGGACAACAAACATTCGAATTGGAAATTATGAGTCAACTTTTCAACGCACTTTGAATCACCTCAATCAGAGTTTGAAAGAGAAAATTATAACCAAATTATCAAGAACTGTCCAGGGATGATGCGGGCAGTAACAGTGCATGCTTGGGGGCCAGTAATGGCGCGCGTGTGCACCACCTCTTTTTCTCCAACCCGAGAGCAAAATCATTGACCGGTGTGTGCACAATAAACTATATGGTGCCCGAGCATAGGCAAAATTTTCTGTGATGAGCCATTTTCCTTATTCTAATGAAATTCTACATGGAAACAATATCTCCACATCCTATATATATCTAAACACGCTCAGAACCCTTGACCTAATTTTTCATCATATTATACATATTTTGGAGGCAAAGAACAAGGTTAGATCATCAACATCAAAGGAATTGTGCAAGATTCTTGAAGATTATCCATCCAAAATCAAGATTTCATTCAAGAAAGTGGATTTCTCGACTTTTTTCCATATTTCTTTAATTCGGGTGATGTCTTTCCATTATTGTATAATTTAATAATTAGGATGGTTGGCTAAGCTTTTCATTAAAATGGATGAAAGATGAACCTCGTTGTTTGTTTATTTTAATTCGAGATAATTAATTTAGTACTTCATGATTTTTCTTTATTGGTTTTGCATTCCCATTGAATTATTTCATCGTTTGATCACCAATTAGATAGTAAATTACTTGTTGTGGTGTAGGAATACTCACAATAAGTTCAGAACACAATAAAATCAACACATGGACAATATGTTCTAGAAATAATATTTATGGCATGTGCAATCATGTGTAATAAATCTTGTGAATCAATGCACGTTTTTCATATGAATTCAGACTAGGAATAGAATCGGGTTGTGTTGAACATAGGTTTAATATATTTTGAGAAAGAATATTGAATAAAAGTGGATTATCGATTGTCTTGAATGCACGAATTTACTAAATTATGAATTAAAGAGTTAAATTAAATGACAATAGGGAGATTCACAATTTCAATACAAACATTCATATATTAGATTAATATTTTATTTGCTTTCTTAATTTAGTATTAGCATACAATACATAAAAGCAACACTTTTGATTTTTCATTATTTCGAATTTAATAAAAGCTATTGAACTAGATATTAGACCTATTCCCACAGGTGATAACTCTCTTATCACGATTATTACTTGTACAACGATCTCGTACGCTTACGAGTTTAATACAAATATATTCCACTCATTACAAAGGTTCCATCAATCATTCCAAAAGGATCATACATAAATTCAAGATCTTCATGTGTGGGTCGTCACTTGAGCTTCGATTTTGACCTCCGTTGAGCTTCATAACTTTGGTAGGGAGACTTCGGGGCATCGTCGTTAACATAAGACTCCTTCAAAAATTATGACTTTAGCGCTTCGAATTTACAGACTCCAATCGTCCACATGGCTTCATTGCAAGGGCCTCAAGTGATCGGTCACATGAAGCCAGAGCCGGCCCTAAGGCCAAGCCACCTAGGCAAACATCTAGGGCCTTAGAAAGATGGCTTTGGCCTAGAGCCTCAAAATTCATACCAGCGCCAATAGAAAAGGGTTAACTGTTAAGCGTTAGGGAAGGAAAGGGATATGCCATAGGAAGGAAAGGAAATTGAAGTTGAAGTAGAAGAGACTGTCCCTTCAATTCAAAATATTTTTGTTTTCCATCTTCAGCCAACATTATTTCTAAATTATGCATCCATGGACCATGGCTAGAAGAAACTAGAAGAATCAGGTTTGAGCAGCAACCACCGCCATTCTGGAGTTTTGTCTTGCACCGCCTTAGCTGAATAATCTGGAGAAGTAAGAAGGCTGATATTTTTTGGTAGAATTGTCTAGATAGTAAATATGTGTTGTATGAATTGTGGAAGTGTGAAGAGAGAGCGGGTAGAGAAAGATTGAGAGACAAGTAGTACGTGTATATATAAAGAGAGAGAGAAAGAGAGAGAGAACATAAATATATGTATACACGTGTGTTAGAGAGATAATGAGTGGGAAGTGCCATGAGTGATAAACTTAATTGTGAGGTGCTATGAGGTATCTGGTGTGTCTAAATTTGTGTAAAACTCATTTCCCAAGGCATGTCTACTCTTTCTCTCTTTCATGAATCACATGCTGTAAGTCTCTTCAAATTGTTTTCAGGATCTTAATTATGGAAAATTTGTTTTTGCGTTTGGGAATCATCTAATAGACTAAAACATGGTTGCTAAGTTCTAACTATTGTTATTTATTTATATATTTAAGTTTGTTAGGCTTGTTAAAAAAAAGTATTTCTAAGGGCCTCGTAACGGTTGTTCACCTAGGGCCTCAAAAATTTTAGGGTCGGCTCTACATGAAGCCTATGTAGCAAAGCGTAACAATAGTATCTCAAGTCCAAATATATTTATTTATATCATGCATGGATTCAGTATTAAGTGACAAGTATTTTGGGCCAATTTTCCTGTCATGGCTAATTTTTTTATAAACACACGCATCACAAACTTCTAGTTTCTTACTTAGATGCTTTAGTAGGTGTTATCTTGCTACTTGTACGCAGTTTATATTAATTTAATATAAAGACTTAAAAATTAAATTAGATTTCATTCACGCAATCGTGCATTACAAACTTTAGTTTCTTGCTTACATTATGTTGCACCAACTTATTTTAAAATATTGGTAATTTAGAACTTGGATCAGTATTGGCCGAAAGAAGTTAAAAGAGTGAAGTAAAATCAAAGTCCCAAAGTATTAACAGTTCGTGGCAAAAATGGCGGTTGCAGCGAAATGACTATGAGAGCATTATAGGTTGGCGTGCGATACTAAATAATATTATACGGTGGACAAAGTTTTAGTTATTTATTCTTTTTTTAATATTGTTGAGTAGACAAATCAAGAAAGAAATTGTCAAATAGAGTTGATAAAACTTACCAAACAGATCAAAATAGTATCAATGACTAATCATTAATGTTCTATAATATCAAAATATTATAATCATTAATGTTCTATGATATCAAAATATCATGAACAACATTGCATATAATAAATGTCGATATGACTTTTTCTTAACAAAAAATTATATTTGATTAAAGAGAAACGGGATTGAGAAAATTGTTGAGTCATTAATATCATTACATTCAGTTCTTGTTGAATTGCTAGGTTAACTCGTTTTACCCTATTTTATAAGAATGATTTGTAAACTATAACTAGATTGATTTTTGGACCGGTTGTCGATTTTCTTGATAATACTAGATGTATCGGTCCGAAACACTACTAAATACTTTAGAGATTAGAGATAATGTGAAATTTATTATTTGTTCAAATTCAGATTGGTGGTAATGTTTTATGTATAGACCCCCAATGGCCTCTCTCTCCATAACTATTGATGACAGTTTGCCTTATAAATAGCTTATAATCTGGGTAGTCATCCATCACTGGTTCCCAAATAAACCAATATGACAATTTTCAGCACCAATTCTACTCTATCTTTAGCCTCCAAAGTGCGCATAGAATCTATGCAGACTGTGGTTCCAATCAAGCCAACTGATCCAATAAACTCAGGCAGAATATCAGTTTCTCCACAGAATCTTGATTCCAGCATTTTAGGAAGGCGTTTTCACGTTATTTTGTGCTATAACAAAGCCTCGGATGAGGACTCCGGGTGGTTAATGGCAGGTTGGATTAAGGAATCACTTAGCATTGCACTGTGTGAACTGCCAATTCTTGCTGGGAGACTCCGAGTACAAGATTCCGAAGACGGCGATCGAGACTTACAAATAATTTTGAATGATTCCGGTGTTCGATTGGTCGAGGCCAGAGTTGAAATGAAGTTGGCTGATTTTCTTGATTTGGAGGAGAAAAAAGAAGCACAAGGTGAAGTTGTGTTTTGGGAGGATGTTCTTGAGCAGAACCAGCTTCAGTTCTCTCCACTATTTTATGTCCAGGTGAAAAGATTCAGTAAATACTATTATCTTTATTGATGCATAAGCTTCTAACTTTTTCATATAAGCAAATAAGTACTTTTTTGTTTACCATTTCATCTAAAAATTTAAACTGCTTGAGAGACACCATCTATATATTCATTTAGATCTTTCATATTGAAATGCCCTTCATGAGTACACTACATTCATTCTCTTATCAAGTTCATACTTGGTTCAGTTAAAAAAATGATTAAAATCTATTTTAATCACATATTTCATAGAAGTTACAACTTCTTAGTCACAAATTCTACCAGCTTTTTTTCAAAATTTACTAAAAATTTGATTTTTATATAAATCAAATTGAGGCTAAATGTCTAATACGTTCACTATTTTTCATAAATGGGTGGGTGGATATTTGAATCCAAGTATCCATGTTTGAGACTTTATTTTACACATAAACCTAAAGCTTTTCTCTATTTTTATAATAGTAATTTTTTTTTAAAAATAGAGAAAAGCTTTAGGTTTATGCGTAAAATCATTTTGTGAGAGAATGTATGATTGAAATAATTAGTGATTGATATTAAATTAAATTAAAATCACACATTTCATACAATTCACAACTTTTCAACTACATATTCTACCTACTTTTATCAAAATTTACTAAAGAATTAATTTTTATTTGAACCAAACTGAGCCTTAATTAATGTCTAACATGTTCACCATTTTCATAAATGGGTTAGTGGCTATTTGAATACAAGTATCCATGTTTGAGACCTCTTTTTTGGGGGAGAATGTGTTTTAACATAATAATTTTTTGGAGAATGTGTGGTTAAAGAAGGGAAAATATTTTTATTTATGTGTAAAATTATTTTGTGAGAAAATGTGCTGTTGAAAATGAGTTTGAATAAGTGAGATTTGAGAAAAATGGTGGTCAAACATGGGCGAAAGTATACACAATACTGACACTCACTTACAAGCTAAAACTATTTGATAGAGTCCACATTATGCCATTGAATTTAGGCTTTTCAATTTTATTAAGAAGTTGAAATTAAGCTTCTATTTCATTCAATTAAAAAGTTGCATTAAAATTAAAGTAAATTATTATCGTACATCTCATAAAATTCATAACTTTTCAACCACATATTTTGTCAACTTTATCAAATTTACTAAAAATCTTATTTTTATCTAAACTAAACATGTGCTAAATAAATAGTTGGTTAACCTATATCTTACGTGTAAAAATAGAGAAAATAAGAGGTAGATTTCTCAACCTATATCTTACCTACTTGACAAAAATTGTCCATATGAAAGTTAAAATTGCACTCAACTTTAATGTGACCTAAAACTTCTATGTTGATGATTTTAGTCATGATGGTCCAAATTCACTCATTGAATAAATTAGGGAATCATAACCTCGCTTTTTGAAGGTTGGGGAACCCAAAATCACTCCATTCGGAAAGTTGAGAACTCATAACTTCATTTTTATTTTTTTTCACTTATAAGTTAAAAAAATAACAATTAATAAGTATTCGATATTCATTTTTATTTATTTATAAATACAGTCATTTATAAATACTTTTCAAGCAAGCTTAAAGTCCACTATGATAACTTTAACGTATGAAATAATATGATAAATGGTGTCGTGAGTATTTTAGTAATGTGTAGATATTGATGGTTGATGCAACAGTTTGAGTAGACAAGTTAGCATGAAAATAGTAGTGAGTAGAAAATGTGGTTTAGAAGATTAAGAATAGGATTTGTACGGAAATTGTTTATTTTTGCCTAACTATATAAGTATACAACCAACTCAATTGTTTATACTAGACTCTAGCCTTGTTTCACTTTTATTCTTCTTGTTGATATATTTTGTACCGGGTATTAGATAAAAGATAGTATTATATACAATATTTTCATTTCATTTTCTTCTTTGATATTGTTAAATACGTTAATTAATGTTATACGCATTGGAGATCATTCACATGTGATGTGACGAATATTGTGGGGTGAAATAGTTGAGTCAACTAATGTATGAACAATTTTTCTCTATTTTTTATTTATACATTCTCCAAATAATTACTATTCAAAATATATTTCCCCCAAAAAATGGGGCTCACGGCTAAATACTATGGAATCTATGTTTCTAGATAACCTAATAACTTTCAAGAATGGCATGCAACATATAGAAATCTCTTCTATTACTGTTCTTCTGCATGTTTTTCAGGTCACAAACTTCAGTTGTGGTGGATACTCAATTGGGATAAGTTGCAGCCTTCTTCTAGCGGATCCTTTTGCCTTGACAGGCTTCCTCAAGAGATGGGCTAATGAACACAATTCTTTACTCTCAAAACTTGATGCGCCGAAGACGCCCTTATGTTACCTTCCCAAATTAAGAAATCTCGGCAGTTCTAAAGCTCTTTTAAGGTCATAAACACAAACAAGTACCCTGCACAAAGTTTCATTTTCAACATTCCTACAAAGATTTTGAATTTGGACAAAAATGTTTACAAGAATCTTGCTGCACTATGTATTGATGAAGCTGAGCGCAAAAAGGGAAGAAAAATGGGCTCTAAATTCTCTTTATTTGTGAAGAAACCTTGTGAATTTCTGAAGGTGGAAATCTGTTCGATGGAATGTCTCGATGAGAAAACATTTTGCACCATGAATGGATTAACTTGTGCAGGATGGGATAATGTGCTGGGGACCAACGAAACATGGTTCAATGAAGCGAACATGCCTACATATGTTTCGTGCTGGATCAATTCAATGTCTGATGAAGGCTCTGTTATGATAATTGTAGCAGATGATGAGGAAACTTCTGCTATGCAAATCATAGTCACTTTCCCTGATTAGTTACCAGACAGAAGAGGTGTTTTCTTCGGTCTTGATTAATAGAAAAGGAGTTGTGCTTGGGTACATAATTTTGGATTCATAATAGTTTCCATACATTCACATGGGATGACGGCCACTCTCACATGGGCCTCACCTCATGTGAGTGTATGAACACCCTTGTGGACCTAAAATTATGTACCAATAGGTTTATCTATATAAAGGGTCTTGTTTATTATGAATGAAAGACTTTGTATCTTAATAAAAACTCATTTATTTTTAATTGATCAACTATTTTTAAATTCATTTTTCTTGTCATATTATGTGGAAAATATTGTACTTATCATCAAAAGAAGTTCAAATATTGCCAATTTTGTTGTTGAGTCATATTTAATTCTTCGTATGTACCAAACATGTGCTTCGTGTAGAGTTGAATAAACGTTTTGTATTTACCTCTAACTGTACTATTGATTCGATGGTTAATCAAGGATTGTACTTTAGAGTTATTTTGGATTAAGCTTAATAAGAAGACTTACATACATATAGCACGACCAATGTTTTAATACTGAATCTGATTGGTTCGATTAAAAAAGTGGACTAAAATTCAATTCAAAGTCAATACTTATGCCTTGTTTAAGCCCCATTTTAAAAAAAAAAATGAATTTTTGAATAGTGCATTGACAAAAAATTTGTGGTTAAAAATTAAGAAAAAGTTTTGAATTTGTATGTAATATTATTTTATTAAAGAATGTGTGGTTGAAATGAGGTTAAAATACTATTCAAGAATTCATTTTTTCCAAAAAATGGGACTCAAACAAAGGCTTAATTTGAACCATATATTGTATTGATCCAGAACTTTTCTAACACACGTTCCATAAATTTTTATCTAAATTCACTAAAAATCTGATTTTTATCTAAACTAAACATGTGCTTAAAATCACTATTTTCCATATGTATTAGTACTGAGAAACTGCAAAATAAAGCCTAGGAATTAGAACAGTTCTGCACAACTGAACAAGGACATGTTTATTATGTTAGACTAAAACAAGATCGACGGATAATGCTCCCAGTATATAGATACATTTCATGCCAATGTACAACCTAAAATGCTCCCAGAGAAGAAAAACTTGTGTCGATGAATAGGATGTCACGACAACAAACCAAGTTCTTTTATCCCAGAACCAATTTCCAGTTGAAGTAAAAAAGAAAGCTGTTAAACTTTGTAGTCAATTTCTGAGATGATAAAAACGTAAGTATTGGAATAACTTTCACAGTTTTCTTTGTTTTCTTCGACAAACAAAACATTCACTACATGGGGACTGACTAACTGGGAAGCTAGATTGGAGCTTACTTGGTGGGACTTTCAACTCTTCAATCAATATTTGGCAAAGCTTCTCATTCTCTCGCATCAATTCATCAATTAGTACTTGGTGCTTCAACACCTATATGCACGAGAAATTCATCGCGTGAAAATCACCAATCTCAGTGTACAAAACCATTAAGAGTAAATTTTGTCTAGCAAAAGCAGAACTGAGGTCATTGTCTTAGCAGGAAGTTTCTAAAGTTGATAGGGGAAAAATGCATAAATAGACTGAAGGTAGCAGCAGAAGATATTTTGTAACGACTCCACTTATGAAATGGCCCTGTGGAGGGGGAGACGCAGAGGGTGATTATATATGACTAGAATGGAACAAAATTCCAAAATAAATTCACTCCGGGTGATGCTACATATACATTGAGGTGTCCACCATGATGTCCACCCCCCTCACATAGAGGGAGACCTACTTCAAATAAAATATGATTTATCTGAAGTGGGTCCCTCTCCATGTGAGGAGAGTGGACACCCGTGTGGAAACCACTTAATGTACAAGTAGCATTATCCATTTGCTTCTAAATAAGATGTAGTACCATCTCAAGCATGTTATTCTGTGATTGCAACTTTTCAGCCTGCAAGTAAAATCCACTGATTAGAGTTCTCATAGAAGCAATAAAATTCAACTTACCCTGTATTCCATCCATCAGGAGAGCCTAAAAGCTGTTTATAGTATTTGTTCCATTATGGATATGGTGATTGACGACAAAGTTGCAGAGGCATTATCCCCAGATTTATTTCTGTTCATATCATAATATATATACAGACACGTTGAGCACAAGAATTTGCAACCAGTGTATAAATGATTCCATATTCTCCGAATGCACAGAGAATTAAAATCTCACTAGACACATAAAGAAAGCAAAAAGACAGTAATTGCATCAGCCCATCGACCTTGCTCTAGCTAGAAATATAAGATGACAATAGCATATAGTTGCAGTTCATCTATCTCTGTGTCAAAAATCTTCTGCATTGAGCAAAAGGGCATGAGATTGGCAGTTGTCTACATGTTGAAATCACATATCTATGGACTTCATTCATTTTTTTTGTGAGGGGGTCTGATTCCAAAGTATATTCATTGAACAATTTTAGAGGTCGTTCCACCCTTTCAGGAAATGACAAGGTATGGGGAAAAAAGCATAATATGAAAAGAAAACCCCTCCCCCACCACCATGACCCGCACAAGAAAAAATTAATAAATAACAGGCACATTGAGTTATCACTGCAAAGTAAAAATACCATATGACAGTTTGAAAATTTAATTGTCTGTATTCACTTACATGCTCATTTACTTTGCCCCCCTCCTCTTTCAAAAGTGGATTCTCCAAAAAGTTGCTGATGACCTTCTCTATTCGACTGGTAGATTGAGCGTTTACTGCATCAGTTTCAGGTGCTAGAGTTTCCGGAGAAGAAACTTCATTTGTACTTCTCTGCCTAGTATTGCCTCGTTCTTTACTATTTGGTATTGATTTTACCAACTGACCCATACTTCCTATTAGATTGTTGTGTGAGGTTTCCTTAAACATGCTCATGCCACTTCGTAAGGATGCTGGAAGAATGCTTCGATTAACAAACAAGCCGGGAGATATTCCAAGTTTTATCATCACACGTGTAACTGCTTTCTGAAAAATTAGGAGATTAAATTAGATTTGGAAAATAACATCTTCACAGTTTACTACAAACTAGATAGCATACAACATGAGTACGTACTAAAAGACTCAACTGCATCCTGTGCACTACACCGGGCTTCACAGCAGGGCCTGCAATGTATCGCAATATCTTAGCTCCCAAGTCTAAGTCAGGATGAACGCGAGCTTATAATAGTCATTTTTTCGAGAATGTGTGGTTAAAAAATAGAAAAAGTTTTGGATTTACGAGTAAATTTATTTTATAGGAAGAATGTGTGATAAAAAAAA